ATAGTTTTATTCAACAGATACATATGTTAAACATATAACATCCATCTGTATGTGTCGGGAGTTAATAAATAAAAAGAAAGAAGCACTTTGGCATAAACCATGATAAAAACAAACACTGTATTTGCATTAAATAAAAAAAGGATTGTATATATTAGACTAGCTGACACTCGCTTGCTTTGCTGGGTGCATGATAATATTTTATTGCAGAACCTAGATGTAAAATATAGATTTTTTTTAATATTACTATTGTAGAATCTGTTCTTCGCTAGCGTCAACATTGCAAAATGAGTAATTATACAAAATTTCAGGCTAGTTGGGTCTGTAGGTTTAAAGAACTCATGATGAGTCAGTCAGTGGTATTTTGCTTATATATGTGGTGGTATGGGCGGCCAAGATGCAAAACAACGGATGTTCTTCATGATCCAACATAGTCCTATGTAAATGTGGGCACTCAAACAAAAGATAATTTACTTCAATATAGCTTTATCAAAACTAATGGTTTTACATTAGAAACAAACACTTCCATTGGTAGTGAGCGTCCACCAAGGCTGTTGGGGCTCCACTCTCGCATAGGGAAGGAGCATATTTACGCGACCACATATTTACTTGCAAGTACACCGACCAAGTGCCGACCCAAAATACTCGCAAGACTTCAAAGTATTTGAATATTCTCACTCTGTTGACACTCGAAGTGTTTCTGCTCCTTATATATATTCTGTTACGAATCAATGTTCAATAAAGTTATATTTGCTTTAAGGGATCGGAAGTATTTTTTTTTGTAAACGCGATTGTGATCTTTATTTTTATATAGTTACGGATCAATGTTCTATGCAAGTATTTTTCTTTCAACAAGGCTTGAAAGTTGGAACTTTTAAAGGTTTGGAAGTTTTTTTTTTGTAAACACGATTGTGCTCTTTATTTGTATACAGTTACGGATCAATGTTCTATGTCAGTATTTTTCTTCCAACAAGGCTTAAAAGTTTTTTATTTTAGCATAATATATGATTGCAATTGCACCCCTTATATATATGATCTTACGGATCAATTTTCGATGCAGAATGAAAGTACTTGACAGTATCTCAAGCCCTGGTTTTTGGCTTAAAACACTAGAGAAATCCAAAAATCAATATAATAACATTCACACGAAAATGGCGTATGAAATGAATGTAGATTATAAATAAATATCCATAGACTGAGTGACTTTTTATTCCACTAGAGGATAGAAAATTTCATATTGATTCTATAATGCCACACTTCTTTAAAAAAAATTATTCCCTAAACTTAAGTACTTATGGGTTAGTGCTGTGGGTGGGTGCGGTCACATTTGACCTCTTGAATTTTAACGGAATATCGAGGCGGTCAAATTTGGACGCTTGCCGTTTGAGAGGTTAAGTTAAAAATAAAAATGGTTTGTTGGTGTATCGACAGTCATCATTATTATCATCATCATCATTACAGCCTTTTACTTTCCATGTTTAAGTCCACTTCTGAACTTGTTCTCCTCCAAGGAATGTCACAAGGCAGTAGACACCCATATTTTCATAAATGTTTTCTTCTCTTTTGGTTAAATATGTTATCCCTCAGTAGAATTTTAACTGTTTTAAATATATATATATATATATATATATATATATATTTCATGACTTATAGTATTGGTGCGTAGCACTCACTGTCAGAATGACTGTAGCATACAAATTTATTCTTATCATTTAATGATTTTTTTAAGTGGTAAATCTACGCTGCAGCTATATTATGGTTGTAGCACAGATGGGCTGACTCAATCGTGGTAGGCCTATGCTCTCACAATACCAGTGTAATATTACGTAAAATAATAGCCTCCCCGATGCATTGCATGCGAGACAGCACCACCTATGATTCCATATATGGGCAGTGGTTCCATTTATGGAAGACAAGATTTGCGTTAATTTTTTTTAAATTTTGCGAAAATAGTCCCGCTGGGTTTCTTGGTGGTTCTTCTCAGGACAGAGGTTTTTTTTTTGCGAACCAGTGGTGAATTAAAAAAGTGACTTTTAAGAAGTATTGTGTATAATCTACATTAAATAAAAAAAATTCTGTTTCTATTGCCCCGTAATCAGGCACTGGAACACAGTGCATATGAGTTCCAGGCCCAGTATGTTTAATAATAACATAAACATAAACACTCACGCCTGTCACCTGTGTGAGGGGTAGGCAGAGACTACAGACTTTCATTTGGCACGATCCCGACACACCTCTCTCGCCTCCTTCACATCCATATACTTATGCGTACATGCTCGTCGGTTAAGGGTACTCTTAGTTTGGCCCGTTTTCAATATATCGCCAATTTGGTCGATAAATTTTCGCCTAGGATGTCCCTTTCCGACTCTGCCATTTACTTCTGCAACACAAATTTTCTTTGTCACTCTTTCCTCATTCATTTTTTCCACATGACCAAACTACCGAAGCATTCCTTTCTTAATCCTGGTCACAACATCATCTTGCAAACCACACTCTTCTCTTATCACACAATTTCTCACCCTGTCATTCAGATTCAGTTACTTTCCTAACCTGTTTCTGTTCTGTTTATTTCACGTGGTAGAGCCAAGCTGCAGCTGTATCATGGTTGTAGCATGAATGGATTGGCTTGACCAGGGTAGAACCACACTCACAGAATACCAGCATACATTGTGGCTTAATGCTGCTGTGGAAACACAGCAGTATGGTGAGTGTAGAGAACCGGAGACCCTTTTTACTGGAAACGAAGCATTCCATCATAGTCCTCAGAGGTAATAATGCAACTGCATTTTGATTCTTGAGGATAGATGTAGTTGTCTATGGGACACAGCATCCACTTACCATCAGGTGGACTGTGGCCTTGTTTGTCAGCTTAATTCTATAAAAAACAATGAAGGCATTATAAATGACAAATGACTGACTCATTGGTTAGTTGTAAATGCTGATCATGAGGATTTTTTGCCCGATACGGTCCCGAGTATGTCTGTGTCATACAATCTCGGGATTGGTCGGGAAATAAAACAGTTATTGAGTTTTTAGTCAAGAAAATCTCATTAGCAGCCTGGAATCAGGAAGTTGGTGGTGAATCACCCCCATGCCTCGGAAAGCACTTGAATTTGATGGTCCTGTACCTAGTCTCTCTCCTGTTGTGTCAGATTGCCATCCCTCCCATCGTACAAATAGTATTCAAACATAAGAGTGTATCTGTGACTGCAACATACTCTAGCATTATAATTTGGCCCTGCCAGATGGCTAGTATTCGTTAAAACTGGCCACCGTGACCAAAATGACATATCGAAACATGCGCAGTTTCGTGGTCACTTGGAAGAAAAGGCTAAACCTCTAAAAAGATTGGCGTGCGCAGCAAAGCGGGACAGTATTTCATGTCCGCTCACCGCCTGCAACTTTACAAGGCGCAGGTTTGGCCTCACATGGAATACTGTTCCCATCTTTGGGCTGTGGCTCCCTAGTGACAACTCCTTCCACTTGACCGAGTTCTTTTTCGGCTTGATTCCTTGGTGCTACGAAAAGATGTTGCAACTGCAACACCAAGGGTATAACAAGATCATTGCCGTCTTTTTCTTTCTTGAAAGAAAAAGACGGCAATGATCTTGTTGAAAGGTTCTTTACTTGAAGGTCTCTAAGTCGTATAGGCGTGTTTAAATTCCACAAGATGTTCGTGCAAGTCAGAAAATTCTGCTTTAATTGCATGGTAATTCACCGCCAAACATTGAGATGATTTGGTTGGAATTTCGAGTTTTGTCGCAGTGTAAAATGGAACTCAGCAGCTGGAAATGATCAGAACAAATCCTATGAGCACTCACTGTGAAGATGCAAAGATATGCACCGTCTCTTCGCAAGCCTTAATGGGCCAATCGGAAAGAACTTGGTCGTTGGCGATTGGGGCCGCTCGCCGTTGAATGCGATCTAGTGGAAGGAGCTGATACTGGGGTGCCCGAGCCCAGAGATGAGAACAGTATTTTATATGAGGCCAAACCTGCTCTTTGTAAAGTGTTGGACCGACCGGACCTACTGAGCACAACAAGATTTTTTTTTATAAGAGAGGCGACAAACGAGCACACGGCTCACCTGATGGTGACTATCGCCTTCCATGAAAACAACTGCAACACCAGGGGAATGGCAGATGCGTTGTCGGCCTTTTAAAAAAGTGTAAGCTCTTTTCTTGAAAATTCATAAGTCATATCATTAAAAGCGACAGTAGCCTAATGGCAGGGCGCGGACCGCGATCTCAAAAAGGTCGTGGGTTCGAATCCGCCCTTCGACTACTGGCGTGAACCACTCGTAACACAAGCAATTTAAGCTTACCACGAGTGGTTAAGGGGAATATTAGTAATGTTTATAGCATTGTTAATATTTAAAAAAAAAATATCGGTCCGGAAAAATTGCTGGTGTTAGTCGATTCCACAAGGAAGTTGTGGAAGTAAGAAAACTTCTTGTAAATCGCACAGTAGTGAACCACCAATCATCTAAATGATAAAGATGGTATCTTGAGTTCTGTCGCGATGTGCGATGGTGAAATTAAGCGGCTGGAATTAGTCCGAATAATTTCTCTGAGCACTCTCTTGAGAACTCTGAGCATTCCCCGTGGTAAATACGATAGAATACACAGAGATGCATAATGATGATGGACAAATTGATTTACAGTTGGTGACTGTAGTGTCCACTAATTAAAGTTTAGGTCTTTAGTAAAACAACCATTTATCAGACCGTTGAGCACAGGCTTCGTCTAAGGAGCCCTCAAAGCACAGTCCTAACCCACCTTTATCGTCGTCGTCACTGCATCTAGTAGAAGGCTGTTCTTCTACATTTTACTTACCGGTGAACCTTCCATCTTTATCGGTTGGCGGTTCTTCAAGGTATATTACTGACCCTTTATATCAGTTTACTGATTCGTTACGCTATGTCAGTTACTAGATTCTATAAAATTGCAATATTTCACAGTCCAGAGTAAAATTTCGTTTTTTTTTTTCAGTTATTCCGTCACGATGGATTATCGCAGCACCACCCCACCGCACTCGTCTAGCCAAGCGAGCTCCAGTGTGTTGATTCCCGAATCTCCCGGCAGCCCTAACTTGCTTGACTCACCATTACCTAGCAGCCCACAGCCATGGCACGAGCAGCCCGAGCGAGACTCTGACACCTTCACGCAACCAGACGCGGTAGCACAGAGTCCTGCTATTAATGACAACAGTAATGACTCTGCGGCAACTGTGAACTATGATGAAGAAAATCGTAACAGTACGTCACACGCGTGGCGAAGAACTGACAATATTGATCTAAACGATGACAACTCAAATTCGATACGACCGCAAAGTTCGCAGTCAGATATAGCAGCCGCACACTCCACCACTGAGGAGTCGAACAGCTTGACGTCCATGCCAGAGGTCGTGATACGAAAAGACGAAGACCTTGAAGAACCGCCCGCCAAAGTTCGTAAACTGAGCTCGCCGAAACCAAACGACGACATGGACGGGGAGACTTGTCCCATCTGCTTAGATTCTTGGGGCAATTCCGGGGAACATAGACTGGTTGCGTTAAAGTGTGGACACTTGTTTGGAGCACAATGTGTTCAACGATGGCTTAAGGCACAGACGTTACGTGAACGCTCGTGTCCAACCTGTAAAAGTAAGGCAGCGCTAAAAGACATCAGGTTTATTTACGCTCGACGTTTGGTAGCAGCAGACTCTTCACAGATTACAGCACTGCAGAAGCAAGTGGAGTTACTCCAAACAGAAAAGAACAGAGCAGAATTGGAGCTTCAGAAGTGTAGGATAGCACACCGAGCTTGCGCTTTACAGCTGGAAGTATTAAGGAGTACGTTGATGAAGTCTCAAGTTGCGAAGGAACAGCGCGTGAGGAAAACGTGGAGGTTTGCGCTGGAAAAAAACTTGGAGATTTGCAAAGACGGAGGCTGTCGCGTTTTAACCTACAATTGTCGTACTTATGAGTTGTATGTGTCACAGAAAAGTGTAAACTATCTGTTTCCAGGTTATGGAATACGGAAAGTGAGTTGCGTTGATTACAAATTAGGACAGTTTGTTCACTTACATCCCAAACCAATACGTGATATAACCTACTCACAGCCGAGGGACTTGTTGCTTAGTGTTGCGTTAGATAGCTCTGCGAGAATCGTTGAAAGGGGAACCCCGAGCGCTACAATCCAATGTGGAATGCCCTTATGGTCTTGTTCATGGGATTATTTACGCAGCAATGAGTTTTACGTAGGTGGTGTTGGAGGAGTAATTCATCAGTATGACGTACGCAACCATAACACGTACATTCAAAGACTGACAGCTGCTGGAGACATGTCACCAGTTGTATCATTATGTTCGACAGAATTCGGTCTGCTGTCATGCCAGTTGAATTCTTGCTGGCTATGGGTGGCTAACATGAGGCAGTGGGAGCCAAGAGCTCTACCAATAGATGGTCCCTTCATGTCCCTGTGCTACGACAGTGAGTCACACCGAGCATTAATTTCTTGTAGACCAGGACCAAATGGATCAGAGAGGTCCAGGCTAACGCTGTGTAAGTTGAAGGCAAGTGTTCCGAGTGGAGAAGTTTTGTTTGAAACTGAGCAGAGTTTCGCTGGGTCTGCAAGGTCCACATTAATGTCTCGAGCGTCTTGGGTCAGGGCACCAGGTGCTTCCTGGGTGGCAGCGCATTCTGAAAGTGATTCAACATTGTTTCTACACGGATTGGATGGTGCCAGGACTATGTCATTACCGGCTGCAGAACCAGCATTAGATGTGTGTTCGGTACAGTTGAACGGTGACACTGTTGTGGCTGCATTGTCCGAATCTAGGTTAAGACTTTATAAAGCCGTGGCAACAAGCTCATGATATAGGCTTGAATTTTAAATTTAAAATTTTGTGTTAAGTTTTGGTGTTGCACAGTTGATGACTGATTATAAAATGTGAACGAAAAATAGTGACACTGAAACAAAATCGCTCAAGTGATGTATAAAAATGTGTTGTAAATTAGTGAATCTGTAAATTAAATAACAATTAAAAGAATTGTAATGAATTTTGTAAATTGTTGGGTGTCAAACAATATGCAGTGTCTAAAAAGTGTAAATTTCCAGTAACATATTTGTAATTAATGTTGATATGCTGTTATTAGCAAACTTAAGCAATTAATTAAGATTACGTTAGCCAAAAATTCTATTATTGTAAATTACTTGAATTGTCATTGAAAGAATGCCTTGAAGTCTACGACATTAAAGTTTAAAAAAATAACTACCTAACTGTCTTTAATCTTAAAATATAAAATAGCATAATACTGTTGTTAAACATGTATAGACTTGGCTTCTTAAGGTAGATTTTCCATATAAAAAAGGCTGTAATCATATAACTTACTATTAGATTAAATAATGTTTTTTCAGAAAATGCTATCTCCGTATTTAATATAATAATAATACACTTCTTTTCTATGAATTTCTTAATATCACAACTTTAACATGCATACTAAAAATTGTACAGTTTAAAAAAATACAAAAACATTGTTGTAGGATGCCACTGTTACTGCCAATCAAAGATATTATTATGCATTTATTTTGTAAATAATTTAACTTGTATATTGTATTTTTAATTATTTCATTTTTATGTATCTTTTTTATTGTTTGTTTTTATTGTTCTGAAGATGTAGACTTAGGGGGTGTTATTACGGAAACGTTTTTATAGAATCTCTGATTACACTATGGTTTAGGAAAATTCTTTTTCACCAAAGAAGTCCACAAGCCGTGGCGCCACAGTCATCTCGAAGGTTTGCAGAACATTGCAGATTTGATATTTGCTGTCAAAATCTCAATTTTTTGCATACAATAATGGCCATTTCAGACAATACGCTGTAGTTTGCACAAGTGCTACCAGTGTATAATTTTTTTTATCTTGCTAGACGTAAGTAAATAGAACTTTGCTTATTTACGCTTTCTTAAATCTTTGTTCATTGTTCATATGCGTGGAGTTTAACACTTGCAACGCCATTTCTACCTTACGCTAAGGGCGTGTTTGCCCACTGCGTATCGTCTGAACACTGTTCTTTATTGATAACTTAAAGTGGGCTATGTTGGATGTTCAAAATAAAAATTTAAAAGCGAGTAATTGTGTACACATGTACAAAGTGAAACTTTTTTTACACATCATTCTTTTATTTTATTACACACGCCGCCCCGTCGGTGTTCTTTTAATACCGTAATAAATTTCACCACTACATCGATAAGAAGTTTCACTTCAAAAATCTATCTGAGATATTTTACTGTAATTTCTCTGAAAATTAAATATGATTCTCAATGTATGATGTATGTGCCTAGTAGAATAAACTGTATGTGAATTTATCAGCAATTGAATAGCTTTTCTCTAGTCAATGTGCTTTAACCTCTTCGGCTACCTCCCCACGGTGATAGCTTAAAAGACAAGCATCCAAACTATAAATATTAATAAAAAAATTATATGTGATATACTATACCATACGTAGACAGAGAAACCTATAGTTCATAAAAGATAGCTTGATCTCTGCGACAGCTGTCGGTAAAATCACAGCTCACAGAGATCAAGCTATCTTTTATGAACCATAATACCATAGCACTGGCTGCCACTAGCTTAGAATAATAAAAAAAAATCAGCAAACACAATCTTGATGTCCTGTAAGATTTTTTTTAAAGAACTTAGTTTATAAAGCCTTAAGTTTGTTAATCATTAAGGGTTCAAAAGTCTTCTCAGTCCTCTACGAGGTCTGTGTTTTAATTAATTCTTACCTCATTAAAATGATTTGTGATCTCGGAGAAATAAAAATGTAAATTTTTTGTTTTTCTTTTGTTGTGTTTAAGTTGAAGCCTTAGGTTCGGCTCGATATAGTGCACTCGTGGCTTTATAAAAGAAACAATTATTTTTATTAAATAAAAGTATTTAATAACAATATTTCTACTTTTGAATTGTCGCTGTGTGGTGGCGGCTTAAGAAACTTAGAAAATGTATCACCCAATAGAAACAGAAACTTTTTATTCAATGTAGATTATATAATACTTATTGAAAGTCACTTTTTTCATTTACCACTGGTTCGCAAAAAAAACCTCTGTTCTGGAAAGAACCAGCAAGAAACCCAGTGGGACTATTTTTTTTCCAATAATAGCGTCAGGGAGGTTGCAGCAGCTACAGATCGCGACCGCAACAAAGGATACAGCCCTAGGTGCTATGGCTGTAGGGAAAAGGGCCATCTTCGATCCAGCTGCCCTAAGCGAACCGTAGAAAGGGAAGTTGATCGATCTCAAGAGGGTAGTGCAGCTAACGGCACCGCCTGGCGGTGTCAGGATCGTCGTTCCCCTCGCGCTAGGGAGGTTGCAGCAGTTACGGTTCGCGACCACAATAAAGGATACAGCCCTAGGTGCTATGGCTGTGGGGAAAGGGGCCATCTTCGATCCAGCTGCCCTAAGCGAACCCAAGAAAGGGAAGGTGAACGATCTCAGAAGTGAAGTGTGGCTAACATCACCGCCCAGCAGCTGCAGGGATACGACTTTGAGATCGAACATCGCAGCGGTAAATCTCATGGCAACGCAGATGCATTGTCAAGAAGACCTTGTCCTGAAGATTGGAAACATTGTACTAGGCAGGAGATTAAGGAAGTGGTATCCGTGAGGATGCTCAGGACAGACCACCTCAGCAGTGAGTGGAAGGAGAGCATACGACATGCACAGCAGGAAGATCCGGACATCAAGCCGATTCTGGAAAGGATGAAGGCCCGTGCTACCAAGCCTAAGTGGAGCGATGTCTCAGCGATGAGTTCAACCACGAAAAGCTACTGGGCCCAATGGGATAGCTTGCTGATTCAGGATGGAGTCCTTGCCGTAAATGGGACAATGGTCAGGGAGACAGCTGTCGTTTGCAAATGGTTGTCCCTAAAGCTAAAGTGCCGAATGTTCTACAGCTGAAGAACCAGCAAGAAACCCAGCGGGACTATTTTTTTTCCAATAATAGCTTACAATCATGTTTACAATTAACAACACAAGACAAATTAGAAATAGTTTGGTAGTGATCACCCTCCCCAGGGGTTATTATCATCCATAAATTCCTTAATGTTATAATAACCCTTTTTATACAAACTTAGTTTAATAACATTTTTGAATTTAGTGTATGACAAATTTTATATATATTCTGGGATTTTGTTGTAAAAGCGTATACATCGCCCCAAGAATGAATTACTGACTTGGTGGAGTCGAGTATAAGTTCGGTGGATGTCATAAAAGGCGAGTGTGCAAAGATTCTTAAAAAAATTATGACCGTCTGTGCCGTACAGGAGTTAGTACCCAAATGTACTAGCAGTGGCATAGAGGGGGGGGGGGCCGCAAGTGCCAAGGTTTTTTCAATAAAATTATCTCCAAACTGCGCCCGCAATGTTACGCGCCAAGCGGAACCGCAAGGGTGCATAAGAGAGTAGGCGAGATAAAGTCGAATACTGCTAAAGTGCTAGCGACAACCACCCGGCGCCCGGCTGGCCGGCACTGCGCCGGCGAACTGACGCGAACGAATCAACAAGCGGCAGCGAGTACTCAGTTATTCAATCAAACAAAACAATCACTGCTGACATAGGCCCAAGGAATTCCACAAAGCACGGTCCCGAGCCAGCTGCATCGACCGACTTCCTGCATGTCTTACCAGGTCGTCACTCCAACTAGTGCGGGGACGCCCTATGCTTTGCCTGCCGGTACGAGGCTGCCGCTCGAGGACCTTTCTTCCCCATCGGTTGTCGTTTCTTCGAGCTATATCGCCCATTGACTTCAGTTTACTAATCCGTGGAGCTATGTCGGTTCCTCTGGTTCTCTGCTCCGGATCTAATGGGGGGGGGGTGATGGGTAAACCGGGGCTTCCGCCCCGGGCGGCAGTATCTGGGGGCACCAAAATTATAATATAATATCAATTTAAAAAGAACTTGCTCCACGAAGCGTCTAGTATCCAATGCACGTTGTTCTATCTTATTCACTTGATGTTAAAACGCCCAGTTGGTTTTTGAACACATCCTAAGGGTTCACACCGAAATGTGCTGCCAGCAGCAGCACAGCAGATTATGTATTAGCAACATCTAATGGCGGAGATCTTAAATGATTATGATCCTACTTTCAAATACCATCTACTTAGACCACGTAAAAAAGAAGAGGTATGCTGTGTCGAAAAAGATACAAAATAAAATTATCGGTATAATGGTAAACAATGATAGAAATACCATTATCAATTACATCAAGAAAGCCAATTACTTCACCATCATGTTTGACTGCGCTCCAGATGTATCTCACACGGAACAAATGAGCCAGATGATTCAATTTATAAAATTAACGGAAGTTGATGGAAAGACTGGAGAATAAATTATACAGCGAATTCTAGAGAAACTAGAAGCTGACGGTTTAGATGTGTAAAAATGTCGCGGACAATCTTAGACAACGGATCTAATATTGCCGTCATGTATGAACTGGCTCATGTCCAGAAGCAGCTTTAGCATATTTGGGCTTGTACAAAAACTTTGTTGTATCCACCACACAGTGGAAAATAATGCAAATGTGTATGTAGGAAGGTAGTTAAAGATAATTAATTTACAATCACAAAATACACGGATTACAGGTAATCAACTATAAATACTGAGACTAATTTAGCTGATAATAATTAATTTGTTTCTACGAATTAATTATCCGAATAGTCTAGAATGAGCTAGTAGCGGGATACAACAAGTGAACCGTGCCACGCCAGAGCCATGACTGCTTTAACGGAAATTTTTTTTGCGCCCGAAGCAATTATGGGCAACCCTCCGGAAAGCGGGGGAGGGAGGCGGTAAATGCTCATAGCATACCACGCAGCCG